GTCATACACAGTTTCTGGCCGTTTAATCAATTATCCTACTGTTTATTATCATGAGTCATTCTCAACATCTGTGAGATTTTATATATATATATATATATATATATATATATATATATATATATATATATATATATATATATATATCTATATATATATATTATTACAATCAAATTCTCAAAGATCAGATTGAGGAGTGCCATAGCAAATTATCCCGTTTCACTCAGTTGGTCTGAAACGTTACCAAAAATAACTTATTTACAGCTGGACGTTTCACTTAATATACATTTTTAAACATAAGTTGGAAAGACGTGGTTCACTTCCAAGTCAATATGTTAGATCAAGTGAATATTTGACACTAGTTGAATATGTTTTGTCAGGTCATCAAGAGTAAAACCACCCTATCACTCTCATTTTGTTCAGTGAACGAGCCGATTTTGTTAGTTTTGGGTCCCTTGATACTTCGCTTAGGTTTAGTCAGAGAACTGAGCAAATTTTCGCACAAGATTTCCCACGATCACACTCAGAAATATCTCACATCCCAAGTATGAAAGACCGGTTGTTATCGGATGGCTTGCCAACCACTGAAACTCATAGTTTAGTGCTCAGTCTCAGTGAAAAGGGTTATAAATAAAATCTTTAATATTTGTACAGGATCTTGGTGTTCCACACCTTTTCACTTCCCTGCCTCCGTATGCTCCCACTCCCATTTCTCATTCCTAGACCCATTCTCCTGCACAACAATCACATGATGTGAGGAATTTGTCAAAGTTTCAGCATTTCCTGCATCACAACCAGTGCCCAGCAGGCAAATCTATTCCACAGCTATGAAAAATGAATTACACTTACTTTTGGAACATTGAAAATCCTTCCCTTCCATTACAGCCAGCCTCCAGTTCTCTCACCTGTTGTTTGTTAACCGTAAATACCTCTGTGATAGGCGTACTGACTTATGACCAGGTCCGAGACATGTTTCGGAAAAAAAAAAATGTGCGTTGCACCCTTGCAGAATCTGGCATTAAGCATTTAGAACATCTTATCCTATTTCTTTCACTCACCTTAGGTTAACCTTGTGCACATCTGCAACAGAACATTACAACAGCGATTTATGACTACTGGTACATTTAGCATTTAGCACATCTCATGTCTTTCGATACTGTGTTCACTCAACCAATGAATCACCTAAGAACCTAAACTTTTCTTGAGTTCTCAAGCAAGGGAGTTAAGTGACATTTTTGTTTTTGTGTCAAATTAAATGTAATGGCAATCACTGTTTGAGTGAGTAATTATGGAGCAAAAAGCTAATATCGGACATACCAAGATACATGTTTGAGTGAGTAATTATGGAGCAAAAGGCTAATATCGGACATACTAAGATACAAGATGTCCAATATTAACTATTTGCTATTCCGATATGCCGATATTGTCCCAACACTTAATTTCCGATTCTGATATCAACCGATACCGATACATGCAGTTGTTTTTCCCCAAAACTATTTTAGGTCGCATCGCCTATCTCCTGTTGTGGAATTGACACAATACCTACCTTTATTGTGATGCCCCACTAAAGGCATTCCACAAATTAGCATCGTCTGTGCAAAATAATTTTTAAAATTCCAGCATAAGTGGCAAAACCCAGTCCGTAATTTATTGGGTTTTCATTATTGGAGGAAAAACCAATAACGATTCTTAACAATATTGGGAATTATGCTATTATCGTTACTATCAATATTATCAGACACCTCTAATCATAACCTTTGTGATCTATACCAATATCACATGCAACTATATGGTATGTTGATGACAGACGGTGCCTTTTATTTATTGGAAGACATATTATAGTATAACATTATGTAAGAAATATATAATTATAGATATCTATCATTATATTGATATATGTTAAACATCCATATAGTCGTGATAACAGGTTAAGTCTTATGAGTAGAGATCTCCTGCTACACAGGTTTTCACTGCATAAAGAACACCACCAGTCGGCCCTTTATTAACTCCACATGTCCTCGTTTGGCGTGCAGCTGCTTTCCAGTGTGATGTCATCACCTACGATGTAATCAGATGTTGACATGAAGCTTGAGTGGCTCTCGGAGGGGCTCATTGTCATGGAGGTGCCTGCAGTCTGAGAGCTCGTGCAGAGCGTTGCCGCACTGAGTCATGCTCATGAGCTCAACCTCATGCCATCCATATCAAAACAAGCTCAGATATGAGTGTGCGGAGGTGTAGGAGGATAAACACACACTCAAATGCAGTCATTTTGCACTTACCCATAGCTTTATTTGAATTCTGTTGTAATATGTTTGCCCTGCATGGGTCTGTGTAGACTACGAGTTCTAACAGCTCTTCATAATTCAGCTGAACTCTGCCAGGTTATGTGCCAGGCTAATCGTCCCACCCTTGAGCTGGAATAAAGTGATATTTGATTGGATGATTGACTGACTGACCGAATCTAATCCCAGCTTTTCATCCATATGCCTGTGTGCTAACATAAACATATATAACCCTCACTGAATTGTCTGTTTATTGTTGGCTTGGTTAGACACTGCTAACATCTGCTGTTTAACTCATGAATAACAACTGATGACTCAAACTGTGAACATCTTGAAGTTCGTATTTCTGTTGAAGCAGACTTGTGTACGGAAGTTCACTCAGTTCGCTCAGCTCAGCCGGTTCACTGAGGTGAAAGGCAGAGGTCACTTTTCGTTGTGTGTGGCGCTGCAAATGAATCAAGAGAGAGAGAGAACGGTGAGAAAGTTGGTTTTAATTTATTAAAACAGTCTTACTTGACCTACAAGCCTTTGAAAAGTAAAAGTGAGCGCATTATCACAGTGTAGAATGGAGAGTTAGAAAGTGCAAGTGGTCCATCCATCCATCCATCCATCTATCTATCTATCTATCTATCTATCCATCTATCCATCCATCCATCTATCTATCCATCTATCCATCCATCCATCTGTCCATCTATCCATCTATCTATCCATCTATCCATCCATCTATCTATCCATCTATCCATCCATCTATCTATCCATCTATCCATCCATCTATCTATCCATCTATCCATCCATCTATCTATCCATCTATCCATCCATCTATCTATCCATCTATCCATCCATCTATCTATCCATCTATCCATCCATCTATCTATCCATCTATCCATCCATCTATCTATCCATCTATCCATCCATCTATCTATCCATCTATCCATCCATCTATCTATCCATCTATCCATCCATCTATCTATCCATCTATCCATCCATCTATCTATCCATCTATCCATCCATCTATCTATCCATCTATCCATCCATCTATCTATCCATCTATCCATCCATCTATCTATCCATCTATCCATCCATCTATCTATCCATCTATCCATCCATCTATCTATCCATCTATCCATCCATCTATCTATCCATCTATCCATCCATCTATCTATCCATCTATCCATCCATCTATCTATCCATCTATCCATCCATCTATCTATCCATCTATCCATCCATCTATCTATCCATCTATCCATCCATCTATCTATCCATCTATCCATCCATCTATCTATCCATCTATCCATCCATCTATCTATCCATCTATCCATCCATCTATCTATCCATCTATCCATCCATCTATCTATCCATCTATCCATCCATCTATCTATCCATCTATCCATCCATCTATCTATCCATCTATCCATCCATCTATCTATCCATCTATCCATCCATCTATCTATCCATCTATCCATCCATCTATCTATCCATCTATCCATCCATCTATCTATCCATCTATCCATCCATCTATCTATCCATCTATCCATCCATCTATCTATCCATCTATCCATCCATCTATCTATCCATCTATCCATCCATCTATCTATCCATCTATCCATCCATCTATCTATCCATCTATCCATCCATCTATCTATCCATCTATCCATCCATCTATCTATCCATCTATCCATCCATCTATCTATCCATCTATCCATCCATCCATCTGTCCATCCATCCATCATCCCTCCATCCATCTATCCATCCATCCATCCAAGTATATATCGCAGGATTTATAAAATTGCTCAGCCTCAATCAGAATTATCTTTGATATTAATTAATCAATAACTAATATGCTCACTGGCCATTAATCAGACATTTTCGAGGCAGTGTTTATGTGTGACGATATGTTTAATAGGCCAAATATGGTGCTACAGCCCGGTTGTAGCACTTAGGGCTGTAGGGCTTTGCACCTGTGATACAGAGCAGGATTTAACAGTGGTTGACTATTTTCAGATGTACTGTCGTCAGTCTTATGTAAGCAAGTTTCATTTACGCTGCTTCTTCATCTTGAGGTCTTGAATGCAGCTCTGCCTCATTATAGCCTAAATACTGGTAAATGTTTTCATTTAAATGTGTCTTAAAAGTAGTACAAGGAAGACAGACATGGTAATGTCCCTATTGATGGAAGACAGACATGGTAATGTCCCTATTATTTACCTTGACATTAAAGCACTGTTTTCCAATAAATTAATTTAACTTTTTTTTTTTACTTTGAGGTGAATTTACTTCTTGATTTTTGTTGAAGCGTTGCTCTGGATTGTTTGTAACATTATCCAGTTGATCTGTGTTGTTCAGAAGGACTAAATCTTTACTCTCATTATTTTTATGCATTTTGTTTGGAGTATAGTAGATATGTTGGTTCGACTGCAGATGTGATTAAAAATCAATATACTTCTTTTCAGAAATGAACAGACGCAGTTGTTGTTCCAATCATTAATTATTCCCAGCATTGTACGTATTCAGAGAATGTGACAAAACCTCACCTGTTTACTTCCTGTCTGATCATTATCAGTGCTTGCAGTGGTGGAATGTACCGCTGCGCCGTTTTCCAACAAGCCATAATTTGTCCATTGTTGTTCTGAGTAGGATAACAGATGTGTCAAAACATCCTCGGTATCTGAAGTGATAATAATAGCATCTCTGAATTGATATCATCTGTGTTTTCGCCCGCAGGGATGGAGGAGCTGGTGTGTGAGCTGCGTCTGTTCCTAGACCTGCTGGATAGGGAGTACCTGACTGCAGGGGTCAGGGAGAAGAAGGTGCACCTGTCCAACATCCTCAACAGAGTCCTGGCCGACAAAGGTGATTCTACATGAAACACTTTAACAGCTAAAGCAGTATCTGGAGCTGTGTGTACTGAAGTTGTTTTTTTTTAAATAAACAAAAAAAAAATCAAGATATATTGCTGTAAAAGCTTGGCGATAATTCTGCCTCACGCGGAAAGTAGTTTAACCCTTCTAATTTTCTCTGAGGTGCAATACACCTTTGGTCCTCTGGGGGGTAGAAATGGCCCCTAATGTGATCAATATTGCATATATAATAAATTACAGTATAATTTAATTTGTTGTTAAATCTTTAGTGCCACTTAATACTTAATACAAAATACTTTGAATAAACCAGTAGGAACTCTGATATTTACTTAATTTACTGTATGAACTCCATACATTAATATTGCTCAAAATTCTGCAATTACTTTTGAAATTCTGATACAACGTCTGAGATGACATCTGGTTCATCTCAGATTTCAGATTCCCCTGAGCAGGACTTTCTCGCTGCAAGGTCATGTGGAGAGCAGAAGAGACAGATGTTTATTTGTTAACAGTGACTCGGCATCAGTACGCTTATTATCGGATTTGACGAAAACCCGCAAGTTTCGAATAAATGAAGACATGATGTTGTAAAAGTATAATTCCACTTTGACGCACCAAGGCTAGAACATTTAAGCCAGAGGTCACCAACCTTTTTGAAACACAGAGTACTAAGGCTACTTAGTAATACGAAGAGCTACGTGTTTGATAGAGATTTCCCGGACAATGTTATAATAATTACAATAGTAGACACTCTTCTTACCATCATCATTGCACCCATTTGAATATGCAAGTGGAACTGATTCAAAAAGCACAGTAACGGAACAATATTTGACCCTCTTGTTGACTAGTTTTATTTTTAGATTATACCCTGCAGCCACAATAGGTAGTCCATATTCCAAGTCTTGTAGTAACAAACGTTACAATTCCAGTAACGTGCCATGGTCCTGTGTACTAATTTTGAGGATTAATTGTCATTTTCTCTTCTTTTCTAGAACCTTCCTTCAAGTCTGAGATCCACAGTGGTCTACCAGCTCCACCCCAGATGCCCCTTCCCGAGATCCCACATCCCTGGCTGGTAAGACTTGTCTTAATATCCCATAACTCCTGTTACGTTGTAGTGATGTTTTTGAAAACTGGACCTAACAAGACAGCACACTTGCCTCAACTAAGTTATTAAAGCAGTTATCATCGGGATAGATGTTTCCAGATCCAGACAGCCACCCCTAACACTTACCACACTGGAACCAAACAACAGTGCTAACCAGGGTTCAACACAAGATTTATACTCGGGTCTCCAGGGACAGGGTCGTATGTGGGTCATTTCGTTGTCAAATCAGCTGCATTTCCTGTAGCCTTAGCCCCACTTAAGCCTAGCGGTCAGTGTTATTCTAAGCACTTGGTGTCTGACTGAACAGAGATGTCTCATTGCACAGCAGCCAACTTGGTGTTCGCTCGGTTTCCACCGCTGTGTCCCGTCTCCTTCCTCCACAGTGGAGCTCGGCCAAATTTTGACAACTCAACAATAACCTTCCTTTGTTGTCATAGCAACGCAGACCAAACTGGATCCACTGCGGCAACGCGTTGTTAGTCACTTGAAGTTCACGTGGCTCTGGGCGTGATGTTTGCACTGATGTTTTGTGAAAAACAACATCTGCACCAGCTCCACTTTATAAACTCTGCGAAAACAAACGTCGGGTCGGCCCTGTCATTAACACATATAATTAAATATAACTATATAAATATTAAATACAGTACACTAGTTTGAGCCTTAGTTTCTAGCGCATGGTTCTAGCCACTGAGTGAAACAGTCATATACTGTATATAACATGAGGTCAAAGGCCGTAAGTGGTGTTGAAAAGTGAAATATAATAATAATAAACAATGACGGTGAAACGTTTCACTTTCACCGTTTGCACGTTCGACGCAATGGAATGGCTGCGCACCACTTGCATCAACCTGACAGTCGGTGACGACAGCAATTTCTATTGTAGCAACCCTGTTCCTGTGTGTGTGCGTATGGGTGGGCGTGTGTGTGTAATAGAAAGCAGGTGTGCCTGTGATTGGCTCACAAGAGTTCTCTCACATAACAAAAAGCCACAATTTCTTGTTCTACATTTTAACGATAACTTCCACACACACACACACACACACACACATACGTTTATGATTAAAACCAGAACGTGTCTTCAACTTTCTTCGGTGACCTCTGCTTGCGGCTGGGATCGAGATTTTATTTCTTTTCCATAGAAGGAAGACACACTTTCACGCTCGCCTTCTGGTTATGTCTCATAATACTAAAGCTCACAGATGGACTTTATGTCTGTAGGAAATGTTTTGAATAGTGATCCATTTCCAAAAAAATCTCAACTATCCAATATCAAACATGTTCCTTAAGTCGATATCTCCAAACTAGGGATGGCTCGATAGAACTTTTTCATGTCCAATCAGATGTTTGGAGGAATTTTAACCTCAAGGACAGAGACAGGAGCAAGACATACAAGTAGGAAGGTTTGGCGTGAGGGGCTTCCAATGGAATATGGCACGCTGGGCATAAGTGTACCACTGCTGTAATGCTTGAATGATAACAAGCCTCCAGTCACTAGGTGGCAGCAACTCATACAGTGGTTTGTATAGATGAAAATATACATGCTATCAGGTTCTCTAGAAAATATACATGTTATCAGGTTCTCTAGAGTATTTTGATTTGCGGGGGTGTGGGTCGGGGGAGTGACAGAAAATAATTGAGAACCAGTAGTATATTGGAAAGCATGAGACAGCGTTTTCATTTGAAATGTGCTAATGGTGTGAAAGCTCTGCTTGCTTTCTGGTCAGCTGGCTGTGTTTACTATGCATACTTCTTTTTTTTTTAAGTTTAATGCTAAAGGATTTGTTTCTGTCTGGCTTGGACTAGCCTTCTGCTTGAGATTTTATTGTATTTGAACTATCCTTAAGTATTTCGATATACATGTATACATGTATGAATATTTTTGGATTATATTTTTAGGACAGTGTACATCCTTGTAAGTTGGTGCAGGGTATAGAATAACATCAGCGGAGAACGGCTCTCCTAAATAAACTTGGATGGAAACCCAGCTGCTATCTTTCATTTGCTTCCAGCTCTCTTTTGCTGTCTCTCTGCTCTGAAATTACCATTCATCACATTTCCACACTGACCTCGGGATAAGCCGTCCAGACAGAGACAAAGAAGCCGCTCTGCTCCTGCCTTCCAATCCTTTTTTGTTTTGTTTTTTTGCTGCTGTACAGTTGTTTAAATTTTAGCCTGCGGGAGAAAAACGATAGACGCTATAAAGAAAAGAGTGAGAGACTGCAGAAGGAGAACCTTATCTAGTTTCTATTTTCAAACGTCAGTTATGGGTTTAATCAAAGTTCAACAATTATAAGGGAGGCTAGAGATGTAATAGAAAAACTAAAGAGCGTGAAGGAGCAGGAGACGGCCTCAGCCATGGTCTGTCTGTGACCCGACAGGGCTCAGTGCCCAGCCAAACCATTGCTCTCTGCAAGACAGAGAGCCTGTGGCTGCAGAAAGAACAGCAGTGTCTGTCAGGCTCATAAGTCTGTGGCCTGTACTCAGGTCCCTTATTATTACATAAGATTTAGTGTGTGGATTTATAGTGTTACTGGTATTATTTAGTGTAATTAGAGGATTATTGCACAAATTACAAGTGACTCATCATATAAATGGAGGTTGTTTTCCAGTTGTACATGTGTCATGCACCTCCTTAGTTGTTTGTTAAAACCAATAGGTGGATAGACTGTGAATTAGAGACGTTGCGAATAAAGGTCGTGGATTGAATTTTTTTAATTTTTTTTAAACTGTAGTTTTAAACTGTAGTAAACTGTAACAAAGATAGTTTTGTAATCTAAATTTTTACATTTCCCTCCACTTTGTTTCTAATGCTCTTTATTTTGGCAAATTATTTCTACAACCTAGTGCTTATATCTGTAGAGTATGTTTGTTAAAACCAATAGGTGGATAGACTGTGAATTAGAGACGTTGCGAATAAAGGTTGTGGATTGATTTTTTTATTTTTATTTTTTTACATTTTTGTTTAAACTGCAAAGATAGTTTTGTAATCTAAATTTTCAACATTTCCCTCCACTTTGCCTCTAATGCTCTTTATTTTGGGAACTTCGGCAAATAATTTCTACAACCTAGTGCTTATATCTGTAGAGTAGAAAAATATACATACATATTATACATAAATATAAGACATAGGCTTGAGCACATGTTCATATGTACTAGTAAGCTCCTTGCGTTTTAATAAATAAAGATAGGCATTTTTGGCTACATGCTAAACTGCTAGCTTCTGACCAAGAGCTGGCTAATGTTTGCTACCTAATTCATGCTGTTAATTGCCCGTCATTCTATTATTTAGTGAAAAACTCTTTGAAAATGTTTGGTTATTTATTTACAATTATAAAAAGTTAAGCAAAAAAGTGGTTAACAAAGACAGGAGTTCATGAGAAACGAGGCTATTTTTAAAGACTTTGAACATTTACTTGAGCTTAGCATTGTTCTGTAGCAAATAGTTTCTCTTAAAAAGGACATTATGTGAATTTGTGACTCTTGTAAGTCACAATTTTGTCTTTCTGTTGTGGCAATCTCGCCTAGGCTAAATTGGCTGAATTGCTAATGAATTTTATTGGCCCTGCAAGGCTGTTTCCAACAGTTAACTGAAAAAAACCCTGTTTCTAGAAACAAGTCAGCTGAGCTTTAAGGCATGTTGGGTAACTTGAGCAGAGCATGATAGTCATGTGTGACACTTATTAGCAAAACAGCATTAGAAACAAAGAGATGATTTGTTCGTGTGTCTTATCTCTAAGAGTTGTTATTGAAACTTGTGCACAAACATTGTAGCCTGAGTTGAGGCTCTGGTGGTTGGTCTGTATAAGGACTACTGATATTTTTTAACCAGTTGGAGGTTTTAATACTAGCGTGTAGCTCATGTATTTTAATCATATTGTAACTGCGTTTTGGCTACCTCAAATATATGATGCATCTGAGTTGCTGAGGATCTCTTCACTCCAGTTTGATCCTCTTCACATCCACCACCTCATAAATCTCCACACTGCTCTACAGAAGAAGATCACGGCGCTAGTTTACAACATGTAATGTGCCATTCACCAGCACATTCTTTCTTCCATACTGAGACGAGGCCTGTGTCCAATTAGGTTATAACGACGCCTAAATGTGACAAATCCAGTACTCAAAAGCGGGGGTGTGATTACTGTAAAGACTGCGATGAGCTCTCCCACTCTTTCTTTCCGTCTCCTTTCCCATCCAAGATTTATCCTTCACTAATGTTGCTCTTTTATCGTTAGCATGAAATACAGTCCTGTCATCGAAAGCTCCTTGCCTCAGCCACATGAACGCATTCCAATTGTCACGTAACTTTCAACAAAAGTCCTTAAAATGTAATGTAAGTTATATTTGTTTTAATTAAAACTGCATTATAGGGAAATGGATTATCTTCCAGATGGAGCCCATGTTCAATGTAATTGAAATTTTAGGAAATGGGTCAAAACAAAAAGACATTTGCACAGTTATACAGTAAATTCACCAGTATAGTATTGCAGGATTTTTTTTTTTGGCATGCCAAATGTTAGTCCCCCTGTATTTGCAATAACGTGACTCCGTTAGCTGACCTCAGCTCCTTTTAAACCACTTAGAATGGTGCTTTGTATTCTGCATCAATGTAAACGTAAAACCAAAAAAAAAAAAAAATAGACTAAAGTGACGTAGTGATAGGATTTTGCTCCGTCATGTCAAGGTTTTGGGTTCACATCCCATCCACTTAGTCGCTTTAACTTCCACATTTAACTTGGCCTCAGGCAAACTATACCATATGATGCAGATTGTAAACTTCTGTGGGGAGCCCTGTTATATAGTGATAGTCTAATGTTGCCTAATTGTAGGTAAGAAACATACAATAATAATTCTGAATATTGTTCACGATTTGGTTTGGTTTTCATATTTTGGTATCAATTAAGTCCACAGCTTCTCTTTCATTAAACAGATAAAAATGTTGCATAGTTTTAAACAAACATCAGAAG